CATAGATTGGGGTAATACTTAAAAATTACACAAATACAATCTCTCTTTTCTATCTGAAACTGTGAAGAGAAGCTTAAGTACTAATACAAAGAAATTTTCTATTTGTGGCTAAATTCACATAACCATATTGGAACTAGACCTTAACAGATTTTTATTTAATTTTATGCTAGGATTCCTTTCTGTGGGATAGCAGCATAAAGGTTTATTTGTTGCTCACAGGAATATTTTTCTCATTTTTGATGGCCATATAACATTCCATTTGGAAATTAAATTTAATTTAAAGAAAAATATTGTTTTATTGTTTAGAATTTTATAATGACCTCCTTGATCCTCTTTAATCCATTAACCTGAAAGTTTATTATTTACATATTTAATACTTAAACACTAGTAATAACCTGCATATTAAAATTGGATACTACTTCAGTATTACAAATGGTTAATTGGACAAGTTCACCAATTCCTATATTAGCTTTAAAGAAAACATCATTTTTTTATGTTTTTCTTTTCTATTTCCCTATTCTTCCAAATTTAAGTGCTCTTACTTTCTTCAAAACAATACAAATGAGTGTCCTGTTGATCCCACCATTGATGAATAACTAAAATGAGAGAGTCAAAACTTGAAACTCAAATCTTACAATCTCCTGATAATTGCATTTCAATGGGAAATGTTGGAAGTGGTCATTTTAATATTCAAATAAACATTTAATATTTTTACATTATTCTCATTGTCATTTTCTCCATATTTTGATTTCATATTATGATTACTTTGAGTTTTATAGTGTTTTTCTAACAATTCAGCATTAAAAGGAAATAGTTAAAAGTTATGAAAAGAAGAACATAGTTGTACTTTTAAATATTGTGTTAAAATACCTCCAATGTACATCCTATACAAAACTCAAGTAAATTTGACTTTTTCAAAGCATTTTGTAACTTATGTATTTATAAAAGGTGGGTTATATGACCCTAGAATTTTTACTGCAATAGCATAGAAACATAAGCAGCTTACCTCTTTTACCATGGCATGATCTACAATAAGAAGGAGTAAAAGAATATGGCATTCCACATATGACATAAATGCTTGGAATGGCTTAGTAGGCCTTCTAGTATAGTAAGCATCCCATGAATAGTAGGTTTTTTTTTTTTTCCATTTATTTTCATTAGTTGGAGGCCAACCATTTCACAACATTGCAGTGGGTTTTGTCATACATTGACGTGAATCAGCCATGGATTTACATGTATTCCCCATCCCGATCCCCCCTCCCATCTCCCTCTCCACCCGATTCCTCTGGGTCTTCCCAGTGCACCAGGCCCGGGTACTTGTCTCATGCATCCCACCTGGGCTGGTGATCTGTTTCACTAGAGATAATGTTCATGCTGTTTTCTCGAAACATCCCACCCTCGCCTTCTCCCACAGAGTCCAAAAGTCTGTTCTATGTGTTAGTATGCTGTAATGTTCTTTATCTTTCTGGCTTACTTCACTCTGTATAATGGGCTCCAGTTTCATCCATCTCATTAGAACTGATTCTAATGAATTCTTTTTAACAGCTGAGTAATATTCCTTGGTGTATATAGTAGTTTTCATAGTCTCCTTTCCCTTTCTTTCTCTTCCTCACTGGAAAGTAACATTCAAAAACTTTTAGACTCTTAGTGTAGCTCAAAATTTTCAGGTCTGCTTATTGAATACATTAAGTTTTATTGACATTTTTAACTCATCTCTAGGAGGTACAATGAAGTAGTGGGAAGAAGACTGGTCTAGTAGTCAGGGTTTCTCATTTACTAACTGGTTAACTCAGTTATTAACCTTGAGAAGTCATTCAGCTTCTCTGCTTTAATTTTAGTAAAATTATGTTTGCCTGGCCTTCCTCATCAATAAGTTAAATCCATATTCTTTAACAATATAAGTACAAGATATTATTACTATGCCTTATAAAATACATATGAAGTTAGTATTTCTGATTGTGTATGTAGATTTTAATAGGGGTGAAATATTTAGCATATAATTGATATATAAAACATCTGTTCTTTAGTATATAGTTGTGGTAAACATATTTTTATATTTCATCCCCATATGAGAATAAGAGGGTATCCATATCCCTTTTGAGGATGTTTCTTACAAGAACTAGAGATTAAATAAAGGAGAAAATGGTATATTAAAGAATTAATTCTCAAAAATAAAGTGAGTTAAATACAAATGAGAGAGATTGATACTCATTATGATACCATTTACAATAAAACGATGACTTGCACTGTTTTTTTTTTTATGGGATTAGTGTCCTTTTTATTTTTTTCCATTTATTTTTATTAGTTGGAGGCTAATTGCTTTACAATATTGTAGTGGTTTTTGTCATACATTGACATGAATCAGCCATGGATTTACATGTATTCCCCATCCCGATCCCCCCTCCCACCTCCCTCTCCACCCGAT